AATGCTCTTAGAAGGAGATTTTCACTAGAGCCCTCAGAAAAGAATGCAGCCTTGCTGGTATATGGATTTCACTCTTTTGAGACCCTAAGGAGAAAATATAGTAATTCCATACCTGGATGACTGACCCACGGAGCTGGGACCTAATAATGGGTGATTCCTTAAAACACCACATCTGTAATGATTTGTTAATGTAGCAGTAGGAAAACTAACAAATTAATTTTATTAACTTTTTGAAAAAGCAACTTTTGGGTTTATTTTTTTCTTTTAAATTTCACTAATTTCTTTGTGATCTTAATTTTTTCATTCCTCTGATTTTTTTTTTTTGCTAAAATTGCTATTTTTTCTAGTTTTTTAAGGTGGTAGCTTAGATTACTGATTCAAGGGTCTTTTGTTCTTTGCAATATAAGCATTTAATGCTACAAATGTCCATCTAAGCAGTTTTTAACTTGTATTACACAATTTTCATCAATTATATTTTAATTTCCAGTTCAAAATATTTTTAATTTCCCGAGACTTTCTTCCTGACCTATAAAAACCTACAAATGTGTTGTTTAATTTTAAAATATTTGGGAATCTCTAGTTATCTTTGTGTTATTTATGTTTAGTTTATTTGTACTATATATAGTCCAAGTACTTTGTAGGGTTTATAGTCTTTTAAATATGTTAAGCTTTGGCAGGGCACAGTGGTTCATACCAGTAATCCCAGCACTTTAGGGGGCTGAGGCAGGTGGATCACCTGAGGTCAGGAGTTCAAAAGCAGCCTGGCCGACATGGTGAAAACCCATCTCTACTAAAAATACAAAGATTAGCCAGGCATGGTAGTGTGAGCCTATAGTCTCAGCTACTCAGGAGGCTGAGGTAGGAGAATCGCTTGAACCCGGGAGGTGGAGGTTGCAGTGAGCTGAGATTGTGCCACTGCCCTCCAGTGACAGAGTGAGACTCCATCTCAAAAAATAAAAATAAGAAATAAAATAAATAAGTAAATATGTAAATCTTTGGTTTGTGGCCCAAAATATGTTCTGTTTTGCTGAACGTATTATGTGCATTTCAGAAGAATACATATTCTACTGTTTTGTTGGCTAGTGTATTATATAATTATAAATAATGTCAACACAAACTTGTGGATATGATTGTTTGGGTCATTCATATCCTTACATATTTTCTGTTTATATGTCCTTTCAATCACTTAGAGAAGATTATTAAATTTTCCAATATTTATTTATTTGTATCTGTTTCTCTTTTCTGATCTATCAGTTTTTCCTCATATATTTTGAATCTCTGTTGACAAGTACACACACATTAAAAATTATGTTCTCTTAGAGAATCCATCATTTTATCAATATGTAGCACCCTCTTTATTCCTAAAAATATCCTTTGTTCTGAAGCCTACTCTGTTCAGAAATCATATAACTACCCCCGCTTTCTTTTGCTTAATGTTGCATGGTATTCCTTTCTATATTTTTTAACTTTTCACCTAAATATGCCTTTATATTTAAAGTGGCTTTTATGCAGCATATAGTTTAGTCTTGCTTTTTGTAGAAGCTGACAACCTGTGTGTTTCATCTGGGATGTTTAGATCATTAACATATAAAGTGATACTGATAAGGTCAGATTAAAATATGTCATCTCATTCTCACTTAAAAAAATGTCTTCCAGCTGTTGTTTCCATCTTCATCTTGCAGCATTCACTACGTTTAATTAAGAAAGTTCCCATTTTATTTTCTGCTTAGACTTACTGTGTATAGCAATCTTTTAAACTTTCTAGTGGTTATCCTAGGATTTACAGTATATGTTAATAATTTGGGTTGATCTGCAAATAGTATTATGCTGATACGTATGTAGTATAAAAAGCTTTTAACAGTATATTCCCTATTTCTTTCTTCCATCTCTTATATAATTGTTATTATACATTTTATTTTTTCTTATGCCATAAACAGAAAATATATTGTATATTTTTGCTTTAAACAGTTAACTTTTAAAGCCAACGTTACCAAAGCATAAATACATCCATTTATTACATCTCCAACATTCTTCATTTCTTTGCATAGATGCAAATTTCTGAATGTATTGTATTCCCTCACTCCGAAAAACTTCCTTTCCATTTCTTGATTACATCTGCCGCCAACGAATTCCCTCAGTTTGCATTTTTCTGAGAAAGTGTCTATGTCTGTTTCACTGTGAGTCGACTTTTTCTTTCACACTTAAAGATTTCATTCCACTGTCTTCTTTCTTGCGTGACTTCTGAGGAGAAGTCTGCTGTGAATCTTAGCCTTTTGCTCCTCTGGGTCGGGGAAGCACAGAACAGAAACGTTATCTTTTTTTCCCCTTGGCTGCTTCCAAAATGTTCCCTTTATATTTGGTTTTCAACTTTTAATATGACATATGTAGGTGGGGGTTTTTGTTATTTGTTTGTTTTCTTTTGAATGATTGGTATTTATCTGGCTGATGTTTGAGCTTCTTGGTTTTGTTCTTTGGTGTCTGTCTTTATTTTACAAAATTCTCAGCCATTATTTCTTCAAATATATCACTTTAGGGTATGTCTGCCACAGTTATGCTGATTGAGACAGTGTGCTTATGTGTAGGAATCAAAACACACAGATTCATACAGACATCAACACACACATGAAACAGGGGTGGCCCTGCAGATGACCGGTGCTGGCAATAAACGGTGACATGACTGCCGATCAATGGAATTCAGAAAATTTGAATTGGAGAAGAAGCAATTGCATAGAAGAAAAACTGGGGGAAAAGCAAAACTTGTATAAGGAAACTTGATGGTCTTGGGTTAAGGAACGTATTCTTAAGAATGGCACAAACATGCTTCCTTTTAGCACTCACATTACTTTAAGGTATATATTTGTGCTCTTTTATTGCCTCAGGCTAATCATCCTAATTCCTTTGTGCTGAACACTAATTTGTTTAAAATTTTAAATGTGTCTTGATAAATGGTATCAAAGTTGATGTTTCTATCAACAGTTCTAGATATTGCTACAACAGAATATTTCATCCTGCAAAAAACTCTTATTTATTGAGAAGGATAGTTTTCATCTGAGCCTAATGCCATCTCCCTGTCAATCTTCTAAGTAAAAATGGGACTTCAGGCTGGGCGCAGTGCTCACACCCGTAATCCCAGCACTTTGGGAAGCCAAAGTGGGTGGATAACCTGAGGTCAGGAGCTCAAGACCGGCCTGACCAACACGGTAAAACCCCGTCTCTACTAAAAATAAAAAGATTAAAAAAATTAGGTAGTCATGGTGGCGCATGCCTGTAATCCCAACTACTTGGGAGGCTGAGGCAGGAGAATCACTTGAACCTGGGAGGCAGAGGTTTCAGTGAGCTGAGATCACACCATTGCACCCCAGCCTTGGTGACAATAGCAAAACTCTATCTCAAAAAGAGTTTTTTTTGAAGTCCCAGGGGGACTTCAGTGATAGTCTTTTCATTCAGCAAATATTAATTTATTATGGTTAGCCAACATTGGTAAACAAGAGACGCATGTTCTGTAACCTAACCAGTTTATTGGTTTTAAGATAGATACTGCATCAGTAATTATAGAAACAAATCCATCACAGTTTATGGGAGGTGTCTGGGAAGACTTCGTGGGGAACTAAGTGATTTTCAAGTGAAGTGAGTGAATAGGAACTCTCTCGATGCTGGGAAAGGAAAGAGAAGAGCATGCTATGCAGATGGGCAGGGATTCAGAGGAGTGTGGGGAAGGATTCTGGCAAGTCTGAGGGCCTGGGAGGACCAGTTGCCAGGAGTGTAGCACAGGGCAAGGGGTGTTTAATGCAGAATGATGTGGACCAAATAAAAGTGTCACCGTTGCACAAGGGCAGCAGATGTTGGTAAAGAATTATAAGGAGAAGGCTAAAATGATACCTGTGTTTTAGAGAGATCCTTTTAATGGCAGTAGGTAGAATTAGTTAGAGCCAAAAGAACTGGTCATGAGGAGACAAGCATGGATCTACAGCAGAAGATGGTGGCTTGGATGAGATGGGGGAAGGATGTGAGAGCAATGGATCAGATAGAACCACTGAGAAGAAAAGAAAAAGAAGTCAGAGTTGGCTTTTGGGTTCTCTCCTTGAACAGGCGAGAAATGGACCTGAAAGAAGAGCAGATATTGGCATGGGGAAGGTGATAGTTCAGCTCTGGGATGGTGGATTTCAGGCACTGGACGGCTGAATCCAGCAGGCTAAAGGGGTGGAGGATTGAAATGGGGGGGATGAGGATGAGGAGATAATCTCAACAGGAGATGGCTTAGACAAGAAATGAATGGAGATGCTTTGGGAACAAAATGCACACTGTATTAAGCATGCATCCTCCTTGAAGTCCCTAGGAGATCTTAGAGAATCTCTAGTAACCGCTGCAGTGCTCCCAGCTTCTTGACGGTATGGCTCTGCTTTGGTAGACGAGAATGGAATGTCAGTAAATGATTACTTCTGTTCGTTTCTGGGGTGGCAAAGCTGAAGTCCTGGAGTTACAAAAGGATAAGATAAATATGCATACATTAGGTAAAACAAAGTGCAGAGTTGATAAGCAAAACTTAATGAGATAAATAAAAATATAAAATGGTTATACAAGTTTATTTTAAACATGATAGCTTTGTTGTTACCAGAAAAGCATCCCTTAAAATGACCCTGGGTCTCTTTGAGGGTTGCGTTTACCCATTACTCTTGAATTTAACCATACAACCTATGGAAGGACTCAAGCAATAATGGCTCATCAAGTCATGGCCTGTCATGGAAGAGATCTGGATATGTTTTCACTCTGTCCATGAACATGTTCATTTTTGTGGCCAATGAAACGCCTTGTACACCCATGGACACTATGAGAATTAAGTTTAAGAACACCAGCATTTTGATCCTTTTCCTGATTTGATATTGTTGTAGTCGTACATTTTTATCCAAGTCATTCATTTAGCAAAATAAATTGTAAATTATTTTCCTGAACTATTTTTGACTCATCAAAGTTTTCTTAATTTCAACAATATTTTATTACAGGTGATTATGTTGTCATGACTATCTATTTTGAATTGAGTAGAAGAATGGGATACTTCACTATTCAGACATATATTCCTTGTATACTGACTGTGGTTTTATCCTGGGTGTCATTTTGGATCAAAAAAGATGCTACACCAGCAAGAACAGCATTAGGTGAGTTTCCAAAAGCCTCTTCCATAAATCTGTATAATTTTTATATAGAAGCATTCATAAAAATTACCCTCAACGTAAAACACTATTTAAATGTGAATGATCTAATTTCAGGGTTACTTGAACCGTGCTTAGAATTTTCTCTTAAGATGCCAAGTTAGGTTGTCCTTTCTCACAGTGAGATTCTGTATGCTGCTTAAATCAAGATGGGGTAGGAGATTCAGAGTAAATGAATTGTGATAGCATCCTGTATCACAGGCTGACATGATCACAAAAACGTAGGCACATCCCAGAACCTGTCAAGTCAAAAGTCCCCTGACATTAATTTCTGAAAACAGAATTTACCACACACCTCTGAGGACTGAAGACATAATATTAGTAAAGCAGTTTATCAATAATTGAAGCTCTGCTTGTGTATAGCAACTTTACAAGCAAACAAGAAAATGATCATTCTTTTCAGCTATGAGCCACACACTAAAACTCAGTCTTTTCATGAATTTTTCTCTGGTTTCCAAAGTCTTAATAAAACACAAAGTTTCAGTAGTTTTGAACTATGCAACATATTTTATGTCAGTTTTTCTTTCTGACAGAAATTTTGCTTAACTTCCAATGTTTTGGTTTTTTGAAGACAGATAATATATAAGACCAAATATAGATTGTTTTCCCCCAGAAAATCCCTCTAGAAAAGAGGAAGCTTCCTCAATTTTGAATTTCTGCAACATCTCTAGTATTTATATTTTTATTTCTCTGTGTTTTTTTATTCTTTCTTTGTTCAAGAACAAAGCACTGGACCTGGGTAGACCAGATACCAAAAGATTTATTAGCCTTAATATCCTTTACCTATTCTAGTTTTGCATGCTTATAGAAAATACATGATAGAATTACAGGCAAATCCACACAGATTTAGTGACTAACCGTTGGGTTTATGGCTTCATAGTTCCAAATGTTAGATGTCACTGTATACAAGACATCTGAAGATAAGCTTCAGAGTGATATAATACATAGCTACGTGTAACAACTTGAGACTATGAAAACTCTAGAGAATAGTTGTTCTGGGATCAAGAAACAGAAGCTAGAATTTCACAGTGCAGTCACATAATAAATGTATTGCCAAAAGAACTGAGGAACTTTATTAACAATAGGATGTGTAGTTGGGACTCCAGAAAGTCTGTGCCTAAAAATAAAGGGGGTACTCTGGATGTCCTTTAGAATCATAAGAATTCAAAGAGCTTCTTCAAAAGATAATATAGTGCAGACTCCTTACATTATAAGGTGTTATATAAGAACTTATTAGACATTTCTAAGAAGTAGAAAAATGTGACCCATGATTACAAAGAAAGATGGATGAATAAAAAGCAAAGAGAAGTCTAATGCTGACTCAGCAGGCATGGACTTTAACAACAGCTATTATAACAATATCTGAGGACTTAAAAGACAATATGATTTTAATAAATGAACGGACAGGTTATCTCATCACAGAAAGTATATAAAAGGAAATTCTATACTGAAATGTATAATATCTTGATTGAAAATTTTACTAACTAGACAAGAGCAGATTGAGAATGGCAGAAATAAAAGTTTATATAAAATTGAAGACCATCAACTGAAATTTATCTAATCTGAAAAACAAAGGAATAAAAAGATTAAAAAGAAAGAATGAAGCCCCAGTGATCTGTTGTACCATATGAATATGTATAGCATAACTAGAACTGATTTTAACTGAGGTTCTAGTTAAAATCAGAATAAGAAGAGAAAAAGAATGAGGCAAATATTTTTGAAAAAATGTGGTCAAGAAATTACAATATTTGTAATTTTTTTTCTTTTCTTTGTAGGCTGGTGTTTTTCAGTGAAAAACACCAGCCTACAAATTCAAACAGCTCAGTGAGATACAGGAGAAATACAAAGGAAATCATTATAGTCCAAAGGATGACAATCAAAAAAAAAAAAAGAGAATACTTGAAAGGAGCTAAATAAAAATGTCCCATCATACATGGAGGAGCAAAAATATAACTGACTCATTCTTCATGTGCAATAATGGAAACCAGAGGATAATTAATTGCTGTCTTTAAAATCCTGAAATTCTATATCCAGAGAAAATATACTTCAAAAATTTCATCAGAATGAAGATTTTTTAGATAAACAAAATCTGTGTCACAGAAAATGTAAAGCCATAGTAAAAATTCTAAAACAAGCTAATTGGGTTAATGGAAATAATAAGTAGAAAAATTGATTTACAAGAAGTAATGAAAAACATCAGAACAGGTAAGTATGTGGTGAATGTTTAAAAAAAAAAAAACTAGCATTCTATTTTTATTCTTTCAATTGAAGTCAAAATAATAATATGCCAAGATGGGACTTATGACATAAGAAAAAATAGTAGCCAGGCACGGTGTCTCATGCCTGTAATCCCAGCACTTCGGGAGGCCGAGGTGGGCAGATTATGAGCCAGGAGATCGAGACCATCCTGGCTAAATCCGCCTGTACTGAAAATACAATAAGTTAGCCAGGCATGGTGGCATGCGCCTGTAATCCCAGCTACTCAGGAGCCTGAGGCAGAAGATTTGCTTGAACCCAGAAGTTGGAGGTCGCAGTTTGCCGAGATTGCACCACTGCACTCCAGACTGGGCAACAGAGTGAGACTTCATCTCAGAAAAAAAAAAAAAAGAAAGAAAAAGTAGGCCATAAATAGCAATGAGGTTATGGGACATATGGAACTATATTCCTCTGTGGTACAAAAATAACTGAAATGATACTAAAAAAGTTCTAAGTAGATATGTTAAGAAATCTTATCATAATCTGTTCAAAAAGTATGAAAATATAAAAAGCATAGCTAAGCATAGTAGAAATAAATAGGAACATATAATAATAATAAAAGGATGAATTCAACAGAAAGAGAAGACATTCATAAATGTGCCTGTGACTAGTATTAGAGCTCCATATTAAAATAAATAAAAGCTGAGAAGAGGATAACTTTTTAAAATCAATCACAGTTTGATATGTAAATATGCTTCTATCATATGTGTACACAAACAAGCACATCTGTCCACTTAAGTGATTAAACCAGTCAACAACCAAAAAGCCAGTGAAGAATTGGAAGACCTGAAGGACACTATCAATGTCTTTGAGCTATCAGATATTATAGAACCCTGCATCAAGAATTACATCCCCCAAGTGAATTTCAATAGCCACCTCCTGCCATACACAAACATTTATTTAAAATGGATTATAACTCAGATGGTAAAGCTAGAAATGCTAAATTTCTATAAAAATATTAGGATTATATTATTAGATAAAGATTTCTCATACCAGAAAGTGAATCTTAGATGAGGAACACTTTAAAACATTTCTGATGTGAAAATATACTTGAATAGATATTTCATGTTCTTAGATAATATGAAACATAATGAAGATTTGTTGGTTGCATAAAATAAACAAATTTTTCCAATGAATAGTATCTTTCTCCTTTTTATGCATTTTCATATGCAGAAATTTTAATTTCATTTATTAATCTTTATATTAATGATTTTGTTCTAAATATGTTGTAAGTGTGGCTAAAGATTTTCTATGTAATATTAGCCTGATAAAATAATACCAGAAATGTCCAGGATACAATAAAATATCACTCATTATATCAAAAAATGAAAATTCCAATATCAAGATGACACAGTTGTTAGAATTATCTGACTAGGATTTTAAAATAGCAGTCATAAATATGTTTCAGTGAGCAAATGCACACATGCTTCAACTAAATGAAAAAATAGAAAAGCTCTGCAAAGAAATAGAGGATATGAAGAAGTTGTCAATGGAAATTTTAGAACTGAAAAATACAATGCCAAAATGAAAAACTCACTGGATGTGGTTAATGAAAGAAGAGAAGACAGAGGAAAGAATCAGTGACCTGTGAGATAGAACAACAAAAATTAACCAGTGTGAGCAACAGAGACAAAATATCTTGAAAAAATAATAATCAACTGAGTTTATGGATGTCTCCGAATGTTGACACAAATGTTGATTAGGGAAATGATCCAACATTTGTGTCACTGAAGTTCCAGAAGAAGAGAAATAGAATGGGGTTTTAAAAAAAATTATTCAAAGAAACAATGGCTAAAAATACTCAAATTTGCCAAAAAGCATAAATCTAGAGATCCAAGAAGCTGAATTAATCCCAAGTATGTTAAATCCAAAGGACGTTATGTAAAGACACATCATAATGAAACTCTTAAGAACTAAAGAAAAATTATTAAGAGTAGCAAAGAAACATGTCACCTTGCCTATAAAGAAAAAACAACTTGAATGACAATGTTACTTCTCATCCAAATCATGGAGGCAAAAGGGAAGTGGCACAGCATTTTTTAAGTGCTGAATGGAAAGAATAGTCAACCCAGAATTCTATACCCAATGAGAATATCTTTTAAGAATAAAGGAGAAATCCATTATCGGACAAAGAAGAACAAAGAATTTGTCACTAGCAGATATCCCCAAAATAATGGCTAAAGGAATTTATTGAAATAGAAAAAGATAAGAAATTATTTAACAACAGAAAAGAAGAAAAAAAATACAAAAAGTGAAAATATGGGCAAGTAAAATGGACTTTCCTTTGCCCTTTGAATTTTCTAAACTATTAATAATGGTTGAAGCAAAAAATAATAATACTGCTTGATGTAATAATTAAACTAATAAAAGGAAATATTTAAGATAATTAAAATCAAGGAAGAGTAAAAGGCAATAAGGTTTCTACATTTCATTCAAACTGGTAAAATGTTAAATATGATACATAATGTATTTATAATACTGGAGGAACCACTAAAAAGGCTACAAAGAGTGATGCACCTCAAAAACACTGTAGATAAAGCAAAATCAAATTCTAAAACATGTTGAGATAACGCATGGGAAGGCAGGGAAATAAAACATGATATTAAAACAGAACAAACAGGAAACACAATATAAAATGGGATAGTTATGTATTAAATATTAATAATTACATTCAATGTAAATTGCTGGAACTTACCAGGAAAAAAAAAAAAAACAGAAGTTAGCAGAGAGGATAAAAAAATAAAGCATAATCCAGCTGCGATGCATCTCCAAGAAAGTCACTTGAAATAGGACGATATTTGTACACTGACGTGAATGTTCATGTATCACCAAAAACTGGAAACAACGAAAATATCCCTCAACAAGCGAATGCCTAAAGAGACTGTGGAACACCCAAACCGCGAAAACTACTCAGCAGTCGGAAAGAACAAAGTATTGATGCAGCAGCAGTTTAAATGTGCCAAGGCATTGCACTGAGTGGAAAAAAAGAAAAAAAAAGCTAATATCAAAAAGCGTTATTTTAGTTTGTGTTTAAATTAAGGGATTTACTTCTGACTGTAGTAAGATGCCAGGATTTATATTCACTCATCCCTCCAAGGTCAAGAAGAAGGTTGTTCCAGGATTCTGTGAGGCCAGGATCATCTTCCAAAGCATCCCGTATGTACCAGACTCAGCTGAGATCACCTTCCTGAACTCCCTTGTGCTTTCTCCAGAGAGGAAGTCATGCCAGCAGGCATCTTCTCAGAGTACCCTTCTTTACTAGGTAAAAAAATCAGGACCTGCCAGAGCTCCTAGACAGGGCAGTTAGTGACCCCAGATTCATGGGCCCCAGAAGCACAGGAATCTGAGTTTGAGCGGTCACCACCTCTGCAGCTCAGCAGGAAGACCATCAAATATCTGCATCACAGTACTAGTCAGATAATAGGTTCTGTTCTGTGTTAAATACAGATTCCTGTGATTCTGGGGCCCATGAATCTGGGGTCTCCTATTCCCTGTGCTAAATACAAATGCCTACACTTTTCTTTTTCTTCAGCACCGTATAGTGTCAGGGTGGGGGTGGAGGTGGGGAGGAAAAAGCACATGGCCCCTGTCTACAGCTGGAATAGAGGCCGCTCATGACAGCTGAGGGACAAAGTCTGTGGAAATTGCAGACACAAACACTTTGTATCTCTATTGAAATAGAAACTAAGGTTTGGAACTTCTTAGACACAATGTGGTCACATTTTTAAAAGTTGAATCTGATGTTTATTAAAGGAGAATAATGGCTTTCAGCTTCATCCATGTCCCTGCAAAGGACACAATCTCATTCTTTTTCATGGCTGCATAGTATTCCCTGGGGAGAACATTAGGGAAAAGAACTCATGCACGCTGGGCTTAATACCTAGGTGACGGGTTGATGGGTGCACCAAACCACCATGGCACACGTTTGCCCATGTAACAAACATGCACATCCTGCACGTGTACCCTGGAACTTTAAAAAACGCAATAAAATAATTGTTTTAAAAAGAGCTTTTTTCATAAAACTACATCTGACATCAGTATAGGCTTTTCCAGCTTACGTAGCATTTCTACACAAAATTTTGCCACCTATATTAAAGAGTGCCTGGCATTCTGCTTTCACTGCACGAGTTAAGGAAACTGATTGAAAAATGGTGATTCCTCATGCCCAAATGTTGAAAAAGCCCAGAGCAAGGGGGAGGGCTTGGACTTTCAGGTGATATTCTTTACCCCTTAACAAGCTGTCCACCCCATGCTTTGAGACTCATTCTCTAGCTGGCCCTGCAGAACTGCCTTGAGCAGGTGCAGGGAGGGACTACACAGAGGCTGGGATGCTGCAGCAAAGGTGGGAAGTCACGTGCCCTCCCCTGTCCTGTGTACCTAGTTCTCCGACTAGTACTGCGATGCAGATATTTGACGGTCTTCCCGCTGAGCTGCAGAGGTGGTGACTGCTCAAACTCAGGTTCCTGTGATTCTGGGGCCCATGAATCTGGGGTCACTAACTGCCCTGTCTGGGAGCTCTGTCAGGTCCTGATTTCTTGGGCACTCACCAACAAGATAGTCGGTGTTAGCCTGTCTCACATGATAATCACTCTTGTTCGTTTTATTCTTACATTCAACACTCTCCATTTCTTTTTTCACGTTTTCTCTTCTAAGCGGTGAATCTCATGTGTGCCTCTTTTCTGGGCGTTTTCCACAATCTTTGATTAAACCTCCAGTGCTGACCCATGCATATGAAATGGTCAAAGTCAAACCAACACTGAGTATTACCAAATAATTGATTCATTCGATGCAAAGCATTCATTTAAATGCCTCAAATGTGCCAGCCACTGCTTGGGGACAGGCAAACAAAGACAAGTAAGGTGCTGTTTTTGGCTTAAAGACCACACAGTCTATCTGGGAGACAGATACGTAAAGACTTCTGTGATTCCCTGTGATAATGACAACAGACAGAGCTGAGGCATGTACAAGGTACAGGGGGGTCGCAGATGTGCATGTTGTCAGCTCTGCCTTGAGGACAAGAGTGGCCCTGGAGCCAGGCCTTCAAGAACAGTGGGGATTTTCAAACTGGGGAGGGAAGAGAAGTAAAAAGTCAAAGGATTTAGCTGGGCAGGCGTGTGAGAGGTGGAACAGCAGGAACTATGTAGGACTGCAGAAAGAGCATCTGCATTAGAAGTTACTTAAAAGGCAAAATGTCCAACAATGAGAGAATCACCGAATACATTGAAAGGCATCCACTTGATGCAGGCATTTTAACGTTACAGTGCAGACTACGATAAGAAATTGCATTGAAACATTGCTTACAAAATTGTATAGATGTTAACATTCAAAGGAACCTGACACGAGGTATGTAGCACCAGGGGCTCCTTGAGGCTGCCGTGCTGGGGTGGACGGCTGTGGGTGACCGTCTGCGATCCTGGTGTGTGCTGCGTCCTTTACGACGTGCTGCCTGTCCTCTGTGCAGGCATCACCACGGTGCTGACCATGACCACCCTGAGCACCATCGCCAGGAAGTCCTTGCCGCGCGTGTCCTACGTGACCGCCATGGACCTCTTTGTGACCGTGTGCTTCCTGTTCGTCTTCGCCGCGCTGATGGAGTATGCCACCCTCAACTACTATTCCAGCTGCAGGAAACCCACCACCACCAAGAAGACAGCATCGGTGAGCTGCAGTAGCAAAGGTTCTCCGGGAGACAATGGGCGCTCTGAGAGTTGAATTTGTGCTTCAATGTAGTTGTATTCCTAAGGATCGTATAAAGCATGATATAAATACCCAATTCAACAAGAGTTTTTAAAACCAGACAGGGGTTCTGAAGATTTGAATGTGACTCAAAGGCATCTCTGGTGTCACCTGCCAGTGACATGGTTTAGTTTATTCATACCCTAAAGATTGCTCTTAAGAGTGATCTTGGGTGCAAATGTTCCTGACAGCTTCCTAATTATCTTTCTTCTTTTCTTGCAGTTACAGCATCCAGATTCCTCAAGATGGATTCCCGAGCGAATAAGCCTCCAAGCCTCCTCTGTATGTATAGCCTTACAGGTGCAATGTTACCGAGAACTTTCACTAAACTAAGAATGCATTTGAAAAATGCATTGCCGTTGATGCGTGTGTGTGTTGAAGGCCAGTGAGTGATGTTCACGTGTCTGGTATTATGTTAAAAACCCAACTTTGACAGTTTGGAAATTAGAGAGAAAAAGTAATCACAGTCCTTCTCCATGGGGATTCGTGTATGGCATATATAGCTCTGACTTTTTTAGCCAGTCAAATAACATATGTTTATGCGTTTTAGAAAAACTGAATTATGATCTTTATATTGTCTCATAGCCTCTTTTATAACTCAAAAATATGCACTTCAGTTTGTGCCTCAAATATTATTTTATAGGATCATTTTATGAATGCATCATATGCTCATGATTGAGGCGATCTCAGCGGGACATCTACATTTTCTTAACTGCATTTACATTCTTATCACCACCAATCTGTATCACCTGTGGCTGTTTACTTGGCTGTAAATTCTTGGAAGCAGAGAGCAGAGGGGTTGCATGGTCTTGGGTCTTTGCCAAACGGCACTCCGCCAGCCCCATCAGCAATGCAGACCCCCCATCCCAGAGCTTTCCCTGCATTCAGTGTGACAGCCCAGCAGGAAAATGATCTCTGCAAAGTTTCCTCATAGGCAGTTCTTTGACTGTGGATAATATTTTCACTTATTTATTTTTGATTTGCATTTCCATTTTGTGAATTGCTTTTGAATGTTTTTTAACTTATTAGTATTTTAAAGTAGCAATCTGACAGTGGCATATATGTTATATATCAATTGTATTTTATGAAATATATAATTTGTATAGTCATATATAGAATATGTTAAGGATATTAGTGTTTGTCATGCAGCTTTCATTCCAACTTGAATTGGCAACACTGCCACTGTCCTTTCTGTGCGTTTTTCTGAGTGTCGTTTGGTTTCGTGCTGTCAGATCTGTCAGTGTTTCCTTTTGTCGCTGCTGCTGCTTTGTTCTGCTTTGGAAGGTCCCCCTGTCCTCGGGATGACATGGCCCTCTTCACTTTCCTCTGAGCACTTTGCTTCGCCTTATGTTCTTTGTGCTTTCATGTATCAACTCACTTTATTCTCACAACAAACCTCTCCACAAATGAGAAAACTGAAGTGTGGGTGAATTAAGCCCTGTAAATATTGACCAAGCTTTGACAATTTAAAAACACATTTGTTACATTTAACTGTTAACACATCTAAATTTCTTTTGGCCAGAGGTAACAATGTAGCTTTATTGAAAAATGGAGAAATATATGTTTAAATTGCTGATGCAGACTACAACTTTTATCATATGGCAACTTTTATTTACGATCCTGACTTCTATTCCTTTAAACATATGTATACTAATTACAATTTACTAATTGCACTGAATGTTTCCAGACCGCCAGTAAGCAGGTGGTTTGCTGCTTGTCAGTCAGGACCTCATATGCAGCACGCTTCCAGCGCAGGGTCAGGAGACCATACGGTCATCCGCACTCTGCAAATGTGGATCATGACGGTTCATCCAGAAGGTTAGTGGACAAATCACTGTTACAGCTGCAGGAAGCCACAGCAAACACACAGATTTCACCAGCAAAGGCTTCCAAATGACATGGGACCGAAACAGAGGGGGAGGGCGTACATCACCACACATAGCCAGGACCTGGGTGTTGGAGGAAGGAAACAGTGACATCTTTAGTACAGAAATGATGCTGTCAAAAGAAAGAAAAAATCCTTTCACACACAGAGAAGAAGATAATATCCCAAAATGTGCAGAAATTCTTTTTTTAAAAAAAGGAAAAAGTGGGCAAGTTTAATGACTTTGAAGAAAGTACACAGGAAAATAATTCCCAGACAGAAAGGGTGCGAGGCCAGGTGGGAAGACAGCCGGACAGAGCTGCCGCAGGAGTGACACTGGAGCCGGAGAGGAAGTGTGTCCTCTGCTGAGTGAGACCTGCCAGCTTTGCCACTCGGTTCTGAGCAGTCTGCAGCCTGATGCTGGCGCAGGAGCCGCCGTGACCACCACGAAGCAGCAGAAATGAGCAGCCTCCGAGTGATCAGGGCCAGGGCCCAGGCTCTGTGCACGGTCACATGCGTGGCGTGGGGCACGCTGTTCCAGTTGCTCTGCGCCCCTTTCCTCACCGGTGGAATGCCAGGCTCAGGAACTGCACACGTGCCCAGGAAGCACGGGGCTCTGGGACGCTCAGGGGGCTGCGCTATACATACAGACAAGAGGAGGGAGTCAGGGACCTGGCTGCGCTGCAGCGGACTCTGGGGAATCATTCACTGACATCTCTATCTTGGGCATAGTCTGAAATTTTCATGACAAATGAGAAGGAGGCAAGGAAAGAAGTTCGTAAGCTGTTTAGGGTTCTTGACATCCTGCATTTTGCTTCAACCTTATAAAATGGAATTTGTTTCCCTTCAAATCAGTGAACTATGGAGACATAATAAAGCTATTTTAATTATTGTAAATACTGTCCACAGGCATTTCCGTGACTGTGGGTTTTTAGTTCCCTAAATAAAGTGAAATGGAGCTTTCTCTTGCTCCAGAAACCACCCTGCTGCCTTGCCTGTGGCCTCCAAGGGTTGCCCTTTAGATCTCTGGTGAGCCATCCCCACACCTGCAGAGCCTTCTGCCTCCCAGTCTGAGTCAGAATCTCCCTGTAGAGCTGCTCTGCCTTGCAGAGGCGGGCTTCTCCTCTGTGTCTTCAGTAGCGCCCACTTTCATCCACATAGCAAGAAAATACACAGAGGCATGGGGCTGAAGCAATGCGTGGATGAATGGCTGGCTGATCGCTATCAAAGCACTTGTGTAGGAAAACCTTTACTGCAATTGTTAATAAAGGCACATCTTTCCTACTGGAGCTTGTCAAAGAGACAGACCCCTTAAATGGAGTGGGGTAGAGGTGGGGAACTTCTATGTTTTGGCAAACCCCTGGTGATGTTTACATCTACTTGGGGCAAAGAACATTAACCTAGAAGAGACATGTGCACATTAGGGCCATAGGGACAGCAGACTTTTATTTCTGCCTCCTCATCAGGATTGCAGAGGAGGAGGAGGGTGGGCAGCCGCACATGAGCCCCCACTAGTAGCAGAGGCCGGTGGCCGCACGTGTGCGGAAGCAGCAACACCCTGTGAGCATGTGGTCTGGGCCACCCTGCTGTAGGTCCCCATTTAAGAGAACGCACCAGTCCTTGCACCAGGCTGCAGGTACTGAGTCTGACGCCTGGCCAGCCGTCCACCTGTCCCCGATTTATGACTCCACGACTGTGAGCATGTCCAGTCAAACTGAGGCCCGAAAGTAGGAGGGAAAGCTGTGCCATGTCCTCTTGTCATCGTATTTTTGGGTGCAAGGCCAAGAGGTTGTCACGATGCTTTCTAAGGAATTCCGGGTGGCCTCTGCCCAGCAGCGCCACACCCAGGAGAAGCCCTCACCAGGCAGCCCGCTGAGAAGCGTGCCCTCTCCACCCCTCCTCGGCGTCAGCCCCCACGGCTGCCACTGACATGCCTGTCTCAGATCAGCTGGCACAAGTGAAACAAAGCAGGCAGGCAAACAAGGCTGTCAGTTCTTTTCCGTTATTCAGTCCACTTTGGAAATGTGTCCCCTCAACAGAATTCAACGTAGTGCACACTTCACAGTGTTTTGGATGAGCTCAGCCTCTGTCTGAAGAACTCACAAGTCTATTGGCAGCCTATTGCAGGGTGAAGAATGATTCCTCTCGTTGAGTGAATAGTACATTGTTCTCTCTCCTTTATCTGCTCCACTTGGACTTTCCCATGTCAGGAAGAGGGCCGGGAGGTAGAAGAGAAGGCACTGCAGGTGCGCACATTTTGGGTTATGCCTCTTGAGATGGTAAGGAGTGTCCAGCCACCTCACACTGGGAAAGCTCCCTTTCACCAGAATCACATGGGACGTGAGGGTCTTCTCATCACTCCTGCAGATCAGACCTTACACTACTCACTAATTAGAAAAACATAACACATTTATCTCTCCACATTTCAATATGCGTACTGTTTCACATTTAAGAGATAAATACGTTCATACTTACTACAAATCCACAGAAAAGTAGGCAGAATAGGGACTTCGAATGACTAATGCATATTCCAAAGGATGCTTAAACTTCTTCATTAATAATATGCAAAATACAATATTTGAAAATGCAATGCAATTTTCCTTGCATTAGAATTGCAAGGAGTGAAAAGACTGGGGTCTCCTCTCTGAGCTTTGGAGCCCCCTCCTCTGTCTCCGTACAGGGGAGCTTCTTCTTTTTTCCTTCTTTCTTCTGCCTTCCTTCTTGCCTATTAAACTCTCTGCTTCTTAAAACCAAAAAAAAAAAAAAAGACCAAGTCTCTCCAGCATGGGGAAGTGTGGGGGGTGGGCACGTCCGCTCATCCTGTTTAGGAGACAGATGTAATATGAACCTATTGCTTTGTAGACGTCAAGGTGTTTTTATTGCACTTCGTGATAATTGTTGTGTCATTCTTTTGCCTGCAGAACTATTCCCTCCTGGACATGAGGCCACCACCACCTGCGATGATCACTTTAAACAATTCCGTTTACTGGCAGGAATTTGAAGATACCTGTGTCTATGAGTGTCTGGATGGCAAAGACTGTCAGAGCTTCTTCTGCTGCTATGAAGAATGTAAATCAGGATCCTGGAGAAAAGGTCGTATTCACATAGACATCTTGGAGCTGGACTCGTACTCCCGGGTCTTCTTCCCCACGTCCTTCCTGCTCTTTAACCTGGTCTACTGGGTGGGGTACCTGTATCTCTAAGGGCTGCTCACAGTAAAGAGTGAAGAGCCTCTGGTTCACACCTGACCTTCCGTTGCTTCTCCGTTGGGAGTGGCAAGGAAGGACGCTGCTCAGTGTATCTTGTTATAAATGACCTTTCAGCAGCACAGGAAGTACTCAGCAAAGGTTTCTACTGTGTATCTTCACACACACACATACACACGCCCTCGTGCTAATTGAGTTTTGAAGTAATATTCTTGCTAGTCCCTACTGAATTGTAGCTTGGTGTTGTTTCTGAGTGGTTTTTTGGATATTGGAAGCAGCTGATGATTACTCTTGCAAAGAAATCTGTAAAATGTGCAAGCGAATGTCCGAGACGCTCTCTCAGGCCCCGGGTCCTTCTGCAAATTTCCCTCACCGCCCTGGGCGTAGTACCCACGCATACTGAACCACCCCTGGCCGAGACCCAGTCCTGCTGGCCCAGCCGGGGCTCTCTGAGCTCCAGTGTGAGCAGCGGTGGGCTTCAGTCCCAGTCTCCGCTCTCTGCGCCCTCTCTGGCTCTGGCACCATCGTCGTTAGTTGGCACCGGTTACCCCATAAGGTCGCTCTAGGCCTGGGAAGAGTATTCTGGCATTGTCCACGGTTTCCATTGGAGGAGAAAATAAGATTTTCCAAATGTTCGTGTTGTTGGGTCAAAGATGATTATTTCTGAACATCAGAAGGTTATTATTTTATTTTAACTTGTGAGGGGCAACAATATTTGAACTTTGGGTTCTTAGACTAGTTCAACAACATTTCACGTTAAGAGCTGTGTTTACTAGAGCAAGGCTCAGCCCCAGAGTATGTGTCTCGCTTACGTCACATTATTATGGGTTCAGTAATTGTCTTCATTTTGCAAAGAAAGGTATACAGTGCTCACAACCTATTATCTTGAAACAAACACCAGAGTGTGAAAGACATGTAGATAAATTTTTATCTTATTTATTTATTTATTTTGAGATGGAGTTTCACTCTATTGCCTAGCCAGGCTGGAGGACAGTGGCACCATCTCGGCTCACTGCAACCTCCGCCTCCCAGGTCCAAGCGATTCTCCTGCCTCAGCCTCCCGGTACGGTGCGCACTACCACAGCTGGCTAATTTTTGTATTTTTTTTTTAGTAGAGGCGGGGTTTTGCCATGTTGGCCTGGCTGGTCTTGAACCCCTGACTTTAGGTAATCTGCCCGCCTCAGCCTTCCAAAGTGCTAGGATTACAGGCGTGAGCCACCACACCCAACCAAAATTTTAGAAATTCCATAGCGAATATTAATTTTCAACTCAAACCAACTTTAGATGCAAAAAAATAGGCAATGGTGATCAAGTACATATTTTGATGAACAAGATTATTTTGTACTTTGAAATATGGATACATAGCAAAATCCCAAAGAAAAAAAATCCTCCCAAATCAATACTCTTTTGATATTTTTATAACACAAAACCAACTTGGTTCTTGCTGTTAACTCTTTGTTACAACTGGATGCCAGTGTGAACTGCAATAGACTTTTTCAAACTTCTTTGCATCAGTAGGCAAAACACAAGTCCTACCAGTTAGTCAATAATGCTTTGGCATTATTAAAATTTGGAACCAGAATCTCTGTGCTTCTCATCTTTCTCACACAGAAAACTGAATTCATTTCACCTAGAAAACATGATTTTAAAAATTGTCTATTGAGCATACCATAATTACTCAGAAAAGTAAAACATTTTGCAGAGAGAGTATAGAAAAGTGTCAGTTTTACACAATTTCCTGCATGTATACCAGACACAGAAGAGGATGGGAGTGGGATAGGCCAGAAAAATTGAAATTAGATTTACCTGCTTAGTTGTTTTTTTTTTTTTTTTTTTGAGAAGGAGTCTTGCTCTGTCACCAGGCTGGAGTGCAGTGGCAGAATCTCAACTCACTGCAACCTCCGCCTCCTGGGTTCAAGCGATTCTTCTGCCTCAGCCTCCTGAGTAGCTGTGACCACAGGCACGTGCCACCACACCCAGCTGATTTTTTTGTATTTTTAGTAGAGACGGGGTTTCACCATGTTGGCCAGGATGGTCTCGATCTCTTGATCTTGTGATCTGCCCACCTCGGCCTCCCAAAGTGTTGGGATTACAGGTGTGAGCCACCGCGCCTGGTCTGCCTGCTTATTTTTATTAAGATTGTTGCATATTAAATGAATGCAAAGATACAGATATATGAGGCCCCAGTTTTCAAGGATGGAGTTTATACAGCATGAGACATTCAAACTCATTGTTTTTCTCCCTGTCATCTCTCTGCCTTTTGGTTTGGTAGTTGCTGCAAAAGCCACAAGCCAATTGACTTCAATTTAACAAATTCAGTTTTGAAAATAATATTTGTGAAGAAACAGGTTGAAAATACTGTCTTAAATGAAGTGTCTCCTCCATTGGAGAGGTTCACACTCTGGCACTCCAGTTCTGTCTCTCATGCATAAGAAACCCCAGCCTTGGCAGAGATATTCTGCAGGGACCCTGACCAGGAATCCAGGAATCCAAGGGAAGAGGGTCCAAGGACAGTTTTCAGACCCAGTGTCCAACCTTTTGTTGGGTAACTTCTAACAAGCTGAAGAATTGCAACCTGCTACATTTTAAAAGAAGTTCTGGAGAGAACTGAATTTTCTAGCAAAATTCTAATTGGGAGGAAAATAACCTAAAACAACTTTTTTATAACATGGATTTGTTCAATTTTACCTTAAAAGAATTTTCCTGATGCCTCATATTTGTTTCAAAACCACTCAATATTTGGATATTTGTAGCAACCCTCTTAAAATTTTACATGTAGGAAAAATACACCAATAACCTCAGTTTTCTGAATCCGGCCATTCCCTTCTTCCCGACCTCAGCAGTCCTCCTGATGAAAACAGAGGAGTTCAATGCCCCTTTTCCAGGAAGGAGAACCTTCATCTAAAGAAAGTCCAATGGATTTCACTAACTGAGCATCGTAGTGTAGACTCCTGCATATATAGCAGGGTACCCAGTAAGGGGTCTGAATAAAGAGAGCTAAAGCACCCCCTAAGAGCAGGTCCATGCCGGCTTCTCTGCAGGGTGGCACAGTTCAAGTTCTCCGTATCAGTCTCAGCTCCTGAGATGAGCCTTTTCAGTCCACAGTACAGCTAGTGCTCGACTTACGACCACGATTGGTTCCGACAGACTGGTCGTAACACGATTTGGTCATAAGTTGTGTAGGCTATGTGCACGCGGAGATGGTAGTGCTGCCGGAAGCTGGTCCGCACTGTCGTATGCCCAGCTGGGCAACGTTTGCGCTGCCAGACGCGGAGCAGTCGTGGCTAGCGATTGTGGTCGTAAAGTCGAATGGTCGTAAGTTGCATAGGTCATAAGTCGATCAATACCTGTACAGGAGAGGTGAGTGTGCCTTACTGGGCTTCAGAGCTCAGGGGCTTCTTCAGATGTGCGTGTTTACCATCTAGAGGAGCAGTGTGGGGAGAGCGGGAGGGAAGTTCACTTTCTTTCACTAAAGACTCTCCTTTGCCGGGATGCCTGATCAGGAGGGGCATGTGTGGGCATGAGGCACAGGGCTGCTCCACACAGCTAAGCCCCAGCGTGCTTTGCATGTGGAATTGGGAACTATTTGGGGTGGAAGTTGTCTGAGTGATCTGCATTCCAAAGGTGCTACTGCGTTCCTCACTTTCAGAAATACTTTAAGTTGAGGAGATAACAGTTTTGTATTTTGACATGGAATCCAAATTTCTGACCACTGTGGATCACACTTTAAACTGTGGCTGTCTCTCTTTTAAGCTTCATACTGGGTGAGGGGGAAAGAGAAGAAAAAGTGTTTCACATTAATGGAACTGGAGAAAAATGTCATTTCAGAGCCTAGAAAGTTTCAGCCTCTGCAAAGTCCCAATGCCACCTACCAGAACAGAGACTCCCTACATACCAGACAGAGAAGGACAATGTTAGTATAATTTACTCTGGACCCAGCCAATACTGCCCCCAGTTTACCCAAAATATGCCTTAAAATGAAACGAAGCTCAAATAATACACAACTTGTAAGATTTTCCATCTCCTGCAATCAGCTCCATTTCATGCTAAGCTTTATTTATCTTTTATGAATGGATGGAAATAGGATTTCATTTCTTCAAATGCCAAACAGTCTTACCCTTAATTTTACATCAAATCAATTAAGTACAAAGATTTTGCAGATTCTTCAACTGAGAAAATGCTTGTCCTCAATAGCAAAGCATTTCACTCTATACAGGGGAAGCTGGGGTCAATCTAAACGTCATCCACACAGTCCTCCTGATGGGGATGTGTGTCTCTGTAGAACCTTGACACCAAATCATTTTAGCTGCTGAGTGCTTGCTGCAGTCAAAGTGAGTTTGCAGGCATGTTACTTCACTGCTGTGCAAACCAACGCACACTCTGGAAGCCACAGCAGAGGGGCCAGTCACCCATTCTGCATGGACTCCAGTCCCCACGACGAGGAAGCAGCAGGCCACTCTATCTAAAGGGCTAGAAGACAAAACCTCTTTTTCCTTGATCATTTTTATCTCAGCGGCCGCAATGGAAATTTTCTGTGATTTCCTTCGAGACTTGAAGAATTATACCTAGTCTCCGGCCATTATTCTTATCACTGTATCAGTTCAGTGCTCTGAAGGCACAAAGCGCTTTGAATTCACTCCATGATCTTGCGACTTTTCGAGTGCTTTTTCTGAGCGACTTTAAACTGTTGTGTAAGAAACTTCATCTGCAATTTCTGTAAAAAAAAAAAAAAAACAAAACAGTGAATGACTTGAGATACACATAATCTGATGTAAATATACATTGAAGTATTAAGTTCTATTTGTACTGTCCACCTTAGACTTTAGAACACTATCATTTCACAAATATTCAGAAAGGTTCTGGAAATAAGGGGGAAAAAACAGACGATGACTACATTGGAAATGTTAAATTTACAATATTCTGCTGAGCCCCCTTCAAATCTCCCAAAATCGAGAGAGTATGTAATCTGTACATATTTTTTTCTCACATTTGCCTGGAGGAAACATTCAGGTTCAGAGAGTTAAGCAGTGCCTCTGTGTTTGTGTTCTCTGTATAATCACATCAAAGAGCCAAAAAATAACACTTCAGGATAAATGACAGCCCCAGCGCTGATCCCTCATTGGCTTATGTTCTATTATAAAAATCGATCTCTATCATTATAGAGAGAAAACGTGTATGTCTTGAGATGATCGGATAAGAACTCAGCCATTCAGCCTTTCTGGAAG